ATAGTCGATGCCTACAGCAAATTTCCAATTATTATTCCTGTTAAAAATATTACGACTAATGTTACTTTAAAAGAAATCTTTAAAACTATTTCGCTATACGGAATACCTGAAACTATAGTTACTGATAACGGTACTAACTTTACGAGTAACGATTTTGAAAAATTTTGCAACAATTTTGGTATTAAACATGTGCTTACATCTGCTTATCACCAGCAATCCAATGGCCAGGTTGAACGCATGGTTAGCACGTTCAAAACACACATGAAAAGGAATATTAAAATAGACCCAGATATCGCACTTAGCAAATTTTTACTTAATTACAGAAATACGCGTAATGATACTACAGGAGTTACACCATCACAGAGAATGTTTAATCAAGATATTAGAATTAAATGGGACTTATTAAAACCGATGGAGGAAAAGAAGAATAAAATAAACGTTACTTTACCACGAAATAGAACTTTTAACGTAGGAGATTTTGTTTGGTATAAAATACAAGGTGATGATAAATGGTGCAAAGGTATAATCACGGATTCTTTTAAGGAGGGAAGTATGGACAAAAATATAAAAATTACTGATAATAACGATTTAACACCTATCTTTAGACCTGTGCGAATTAAAAAAAACCTGCTTATTTAAAAGACTATGTAACTTAAAATATAAAATAAATATTAAATTGTATAAACTAAATTAAATATTAAAACGCTTATATTAAAACGCAAAAAATTAAAACGCTAAAAATATAACAATCTTATTGATTTATCATTCTTCATTTATTCTTATGATGAACTATTATTTCTTATTCGCAACTTATTTATGATAATAACAATTTTGGAAAAAATGATAATAACAATTGAGTACTATCAAACAAGCTATGATTAATGGAGACAATTTACGATATGGATATCAAGCTTGTTATTAAACAAACCAACGTGCAAAATCGAATTGATCAAACCAACGATTTGGACAAGCCAACGTTATGATGATTTATGATACAACTTGATTACCAAAATGGTTAACCACTTGGACAACAAACTCTCTGTGTCTTCTCCGATGAAATTATCAGAAGAGGGAGAATGTTGCGTTATTCTAATTTCTTAATCTTATTATATATTTTTATAATCTAATTTTTTGTTATTTGTTATAATCTAATTTTATTTTATAAACGGCGTAACCTTACTTTTTTAATATTATTTTACTTTTTTGTATTTCGTTTATATTCTAATTTGGACCTATAAAAAATGTATATAAGAGAAGTGTGAAATGAAAAAGTTAGTTAATAAAATATATTTTTTATTTAATAAAGTTAATAAAACATATTTATTATTCACCGGCACATATTCATGTTACTCTACAACAGCCAATTGGTATTAATTCATTATTGTGCTGCCTCAATTCGGTAACTTTGGTTTTTGCCAAAATTTACAGAGGCATTATCAGTGCAGAAAGCTGACATGGAAATCATTGATAACCCTGAATCAGCTATATTTACCATTATGTGGCTAGCTACATTGAAGGATTTTTCACTATCTGAGGAAAATTTTTTAACAGTTTTATTGAAATGTTCTTATTCTTGTTGAAATGGCGAAGGATTGAGGGAAATGTTTTAATATTTCTCTTATTAGATGCATCTGTTAGAATTGCATATGGATGTCCATCTTTCAAATCTTCTAGAATTGACCTCTAGGATTCAGATACTAAAACACTTGTGATAGCCTTGCTCATTTTTGTTCTGCCATAAGTAAGGTTTGCACTTATATTGGAGTCGTTAAATATCATGAGAAAAATATTCGACCCACATTGTGATGATATAGCTCTGTGAATTTTGAACTACATGATAGATGTATACAATTTCCGCAAATGTAGTTGCATCTGTATTATTTATTATTTTTGAAAATATTTTTGTATTGCAATCGATGTTGATATACTCCCCTGTACTGACTTATATGAATGAAATGATGTTGATTTATTATTGGATAAAAATAAAACAGGATAGATAGAAATTTAAAAACATGTTTTTCGAATAAATATTTAAAAATTTATTTTAAAAATATCAAATAATCAATTAATGTCTCTCAAAATTATTATTTATATATTAAAAACGTTAAAATACTATTAAAAAGAATCGCGGGAGATTTTCAAATGCGGTAGTTTTGCGGGAGAGAGATGTCTGCGTGTAAACTAAAAAATTGCGGGCTCCCGCTGATGGGGGAGACATGACAACCCTGCTGATAAGGGGTATTTCCGTTACCGACGATTGCCTTTTGGATTGGCAAGTGCACCCACTATATTCTAGAGATATATGGATGAGTTGCTAAAAGATTGCCAAATGACTGATGTCTACTTAGATTACTGATTATTTCTGGTCGAAACGATGAGGAGCACATGAATAATTGGCGAATCGTGTTAGACAGATTACAGACGACCGGTCTAAGGCGATATTGACGAAAGAGATTTTTACAAAAATTGGTTTCATTTTTAAGGGTGATTATAAATTCAGTATACATCCTAATCCAGAAAAGGTGAATATCCGAAATGCAGCATAACCTAAGAATATACAACAACAGATTTTTTCTAGGACTCATGAATTAAACGTTTTATTCGTAATCTATTAAGCAGTTGTATTACATAGATTAACGAGCCTGAAAGTACCTTGGCGGTGGACTAAAGATGAATAAATTTACTTCTATGAAATTAAAAAATTATTGTCTTCTGAGGAAAAGTTAATTCCTTATAAAGCGCAGTTGCCTATAATTTTGGAAATGCGACGCATCAGTATTAGGGGCTCTGTTGTTACATCAATTAGTAGACGGAAAACAAAACCTATTTCGTTAGCATAAGTACTTTATTAGAATCTGATAAACACTACGCTCTGATTAATAAAGAAGTTCAAGCAGTTTTATTTGGTAGAAAAACTTCATTTATTTATTTAAGGTAGAAAATTTTAACTTCGAACTGATCATAAACTTAGAGCAATTATTTGCGGAGCACGATTTACCTAAAATTTCTAATAATCGTTTGACACAATGGGCCTGGAAGATGGCTTCTTATGATTTTACAATAGAATATAGACCTGGTAATAAAAATATAATCGCTGACGCAACATCAAGACTTCCGATATTAGACATGGAAGAGAATCAAGATTCTAAACATGCTTTGGATATTCGAAGTATTAATTTGGATGATATGCAATTGTCAGAAAATATTTTACGAAAAGAGCTGTAATATTGAAAAAAATAGCAATGCCTATTCAGCAAAGTGGCGAAACTTTAAGAAATTGTTAGTTTCTATAATCGACTGGAGGAGCTTTCTGTCGATCGTGATATAATAGAACGGAATAGGAGATTGATTATTCCTAATAAATTAAGAAATGCAGTGTTAGGAATAATTTATCGGAGACATCCTGGGGAAAATGTAATAATCTATTTTTAGATTGAATTGTTGTTGGCCTAGATGTGATGTTGATATAAAAAAAATTATCAAAATATGCTCTGGATGCCAGAAAAATAAACCTGGTATTCTTGGACTGTTGGTAAGGGATCTTGGGAACCAATCCATATTGATTTTGCTAGACCAGTGGATTCGCGATATTGGCTAATTGGTGTAGATTCCTAGTCTAAATATACCTCTACTAACGGTTAAAAAAATTTTCTGCTAGGTTTGGAATACCCAAATAGATTGTGTCAGACAATGAACCACAATTATTATTATGGGAATCCCATAGGTATTGTGATTTAAATAACGTACGTTTAATACGTTCGGCATCCTATCGTCCAAAAACTAATAGAATGGCTGTTTGAAAGGTCTCTATTTATGCGACGAGAGAGTCAATTAGTGAACCAGAAGAAGCTCTGACACGGGTTTTAACAACCACCTATTGGTGGAGCATAGCTCTACAGGGAGATCTCCTGCCAGGATTATGTTTGAAAGACAATTGAAAATAAGATTGGACTGGATCAGACCAAAAGTTAGACATGAAATAGAAAGCTAATGAGAGACAAAGTCATAATCATAATTTACATTCGAAAGAGAGAAAATTTGAAATTTTACAACCTGTGTGGTTAAACAACTAGAACACCAAAAGTTGGAGAAAGGGAGTGATCAAAAAAAAGAACAGGGTTATACTCTTATAATGTTAAAACTCCCTAAAGAACATTGCGGAAACATGCAGATCAGTTAAGAAGTCGTTTAATTATTCCGAAGAACTACAGAAATGGTTGTTCCAGTAAATGAAGCAGGTACAAATATTGCATTATATTGTTCATCAAGAAACCGTAAACCTACAAAGAGGTTTGATGAGGAAATCTAACTTTAAAATGTTTGAAGGAAATGGAAATGTAATAGATTCAGAGTTGTACAAAAGATCTTCTTTGAAGATTTTTGAGCGAGATCTAGCTCAAAAATTTGAGCAAGATCTTTGAAGATCGTAAAATTTGAAGATCTTTTATTTTTTTAAAATTTTGTGTAACGATCTTCAAAGATCTTCATGATATTTATTTTTTTACCCCTTTATTAAAAGCCCAGATGTTTTTCAATTTTCATCAAGGCAGGAGGAGAGGTATAAAACATAAAAGAAATATTATATTAATAAAATTGAAAAACATCTGGGCTTTTAATAAAGGGGTAAAAAAATAAATATCATGAAGATCTTTGAAGATCGTTACACAAAATTTTTAAAAAATAAAAGATCTTCAAATTTTACGATCTTCAAGGATCTAGATCTTTGAAGATCTTTTTATTTTGAGCAAATGTACAACTCTGGATTGTGTTATATGTTATTTATTATATATTATATAAAAAAAGAATATAACATTTTGAATAATTAATAAATATGATGTGATTTTTAAAATATAAAACGATATATATTAAAATACATAATTAGTAGTAGTCGTTTTATTAAAGTATTGATTTTACAATCTACACATGGTCTCTCTCATTAAATCTATTTATCGACCAAGTATCAACTTACTTTATCATACATTCATTTCATTTCTTAAGAACTTATGTCTATAAATTTAGAAAGCCACTTAGAAAGAGTTGTTATACATCCTTTAGTGTTATTAAGTGTTGTTGACCATTTTAACAGAATTGTTAAAATAAGCAATCAAAAAAGGGTTATAGGTGTCTTATTAGGATCCTTGCGCAAAAATATTTTAGATGTAACCAATAGTTTTGCAGGTTGATTATTTTATTTTTTTAAAATATAATTATTATATGAAATATAAGTGCCCTTTGACGAAGATGAAAAAGATAACGCAGTATGGTTTTTAGACCACGAGTATTTAGAATCAATGTATGGAATGTTTAAAAAAGTGAATGGTAATTTTATAATGAAATTTAAGTTATTAATATATTGTTAGCAAAAGAAAAAATAGTTGGCTGGTATCATACAGGACCTAAACTTCATCCTAATGATATTAAAATAAATGAATTGATTAAAAAATTTTCCAATGTTACAGTTATCCATATTATTTTTTAATATTATATAGTAATATAACTAGGTCTTGGTCATTATAGATGCCAAACCCAAAGATTTAGGCCTACCAACTGAAGCATATGTAATGGTTGAAGAAATACATGATGTAATAATTAATTATTTCACTTAAGAGTGCCATTTTTTAGGATGGTACCCCTACAACAAAAACATTTGAACATGTTCCTAGTGAGATTGGTGCTGAAGAAGCAGAGGAAGTTGGTGTTGAACATTTACTAAGGTTTTAGTTTTAATTATTTATCACTGTTTTTAAAATATTATTATAAGAGATATTAAAGAAACAACCCTAGGCACTTTATCCCAAAGAATAACTTACCAATATTTAGGAATGAAGGGACTTGAGGAAAAATTAAAGACAATCAGTTATTATTTAAAGCAAGTATCGGAAGGTATAATTTTAATTCAATACATAATTATTATTAGTTTTTCTTTTCAAGTAAATTATTTAATATAATATATATCATTTTACTATGTTATCAATATAACCCCAGCTGGGGCTGACTTTCTGTGGCTTGCAATTTTTAAATTTTTTATCCTATGGATTAAATGTTTTACCTATCAACATTATGTGTATTTGTTATTTTTTTTAATAAAGGCCTTTATATTTTAAAGCATCTTTAAAGTTTCCTTCTTTCCATTATATTTATGTTAGTTTTCATATAAAAATCATTTTATAACTTTTTTAAAATGAATACCTGAATAGACTGAACCTAATTAATTTTGATTTTTTGGTTAGTTTGGGTGTTCTTTGCTGGAAAAAAATTTGAAAGGACTTGTTGGTAATGTATATAGCCTCGATTTGAGCCGATTTTTAAAAATGGCTAACTCAACAATATAACCAAGAAAATATTGCCTAAGCATCGAGATTTTGCCAATAGATGTTCAATTCTATGAGCAAAATCTTTAGGCTTGCATTTCTTCTGGGTAAAATATTGAGTTAGCCATTTTTAAAATCGGCTCAAATTGAGCCTTTTAACAACACTTGTTGGGCTTGGGAAAAAATATAGTTTTGGGCTACACAAAAAATATGAATCAAAAATATTTGCATTATTCAATCTGATTCATCAAATATTCCCTTCAAAAATTAAATTGCTTAAAAATTAAAAAAGGTTAAATTTAAGAGTAATTTAAATATTATATGTTATTAAATAATTAAGAATTATATCAAATATTAATGAATAATTTCTAGTACTTACAAATAGTCATGAATATATGTATATATATATACAAATTATTTTAAATAGAAAGAAAAAATTTCAACAGATAAATTTCCTTATTAGTATTAGATTCTAATTTTGTTATTCATAAAATACGAATCAAATTAACGAACAATTCGTTTTATGGTAATTCCATATCAAATCGATATCTTTTTAGTTTTGACTAGTGTTGCGTAATCGGCTAAAAACTACGCCTAAGCCTAATAAGGCTAAGCTTAATTAGGTAATCCTAAAAATCGGCTAAAACTAAAAATCGGCTAAGCCTAATTAGGTTAAGCCTAAAAATCGGCTAAGCCTATATAAATCTGCTAAAATTAAATTAGTCAAAATTCTGCATCGATGCTTAGTATTAATTATTATTTATTTATTTTAGTAAAATAATTTATTTTATTTATATTTAATGTAAATATTTTATTATTATCAACAAATAAACATGATATTATTTAATATTTTTTATTTATATTATTATATTTTGAAATGAAAATAAATTTATTTATTTGATGTTATTTTAATAAAAAAAATAATATGCTGCTATATTGTAAAATTGTAATATTCTTTTTAATATAATTTATTAGTGATTTTCACAATCTTCTTTATAAATACATCTTTTATTGAGGAATTATATTGTAAATTTTATTAGATAAATAAACAATCTTTTAGGTGAAATCATTTATAATTTTTTTATCATTTTTTTTAAAATTATCTATTTTTTATTTAATGAGGTGGATTTTATGAAACTTTTTTGATGATTTTATATGATCTTTTTAAGGATAATATTTTAATGTGACAATTGTCATAATCGTTATTTTATAAGTTTTTTGATTTTTTTGAAGAAAATAGGTTAAAATAAGTATTAATAACATGTGTAAATATAAATTTAGTGAGGATGTACCAAAGAAAAGTGACAATTGTCATAATCGTTATTTTTAAAGTTTTTTGAATTTTTTTGACGACAATATGTTAAAATAAGTATTAATAACATGTTTAAATAAAAATTTAGTGAAGATGTACCATAGAAAATTGACAATTGTCATAATCGTTATTTTTAAAGTTTTTTGAATTTTTTTGAAGAAAATATTTTAAAATAAGTATTAAAAACATGTTTAAATAAAAATTTAGTGAAGATGTACCATAGAAAAGTGACAATTGTCATAATCGTTATTTTATACATTTTTTTAATTTTTTTGAAGAAAATAGGTTAAAATAAGTATTAATAACATGTGTAAATATAAATTTAGTGAAGATTTACCAATGAAAAGTGACATTTGTCATAATCGTTATTTTATAAGTTTTTTGAATTTTTTTGAAGAAAATAGGTTAAAATAAGTATTAATAACATGTGTAAATATAAATTTAGTGAGGATGTACCAAAGAAAAGTGACAATTGTCATAATCGTTATTTTTAAAGATTTTTGAATTTTTTTGACGACAATATGTTAAAATAAGTATTAAAAACATGTTTAAATAAAAATTTAGTGAAGATGTACCATAGAAAAGTGACAATTGTCATAATCGTTATTTTATACATTTTTTGAATTTTTTTGAAGAAAATAGGTTAAAATAAGTATTAATAACATGTGTAAATATAAATTTAGTGAAGATGTACCATAGAAAAGTGACAATTGTCATAATAAGTTTTTTGAATTTTTTTGAAGAAAATATGTTAAAATAAGTATTGATAACATGTTTAAATAAAATTTAGTGAAGATGTACCATAGAAAATTGACATTGTCATAATGGTTATTTTTAAAGTTTTTTGAATTTTTTGACGAAAATATGTTAAAATAAGTATTAATAACATATGTAAATATAAATTTAGTGAAGACAATGAAAAGTGACAATTGTCATAATCGTTATTTTTAAAATTTTTTGAATTTTTTTGACGAAAATATGTTAAAATAAGTATTAATAACATGTGTAAATATAAATTTAGTGAAGATGTACCAATGAAAAGTGACAATTGTCATAATCGTTATACTTAAAGTTTTTTGAATTTTTTTGACGAAAATATTTTAAAATAAGTATATATAACATGTTTAAGTAAAAATTTAGTGAAGATGTACTCTAGATAAGCGACAATTGTCATAATCATTATTTTTTAAGTTTTTTGATTTTTGTTGACGAAAATATGTTAAAATGAGTAATAATAACATGTTTAAATAAAAATTTAGGGAAGATGTACTATAGAAAAGTGACAATTGTCATAGTCGTTATTTTTAAAATTTCTTTGATGTAAATGGGGAAAAATATAGATTGTAAAATTAAAATTGCCTGAGTATATGCCATAGAAAAACATATGGTAATAATAGATTCTTCCCCAAAAACAGGAGCAAATTGGCATTTTATTACATTTGTTCATCGGGTCAGAAATTAATATGCAAAATTTATATCATAATATCTAATCCTAAGTTAGAAATTATTATTTATTTACCAATTTTCACCAGAGATTCTTGTTTAAAATTTGGGTAAACTTTTTTTTCTATTTTAAAATCAATATCGATGCAAGTTAACTATTTTCGTCAAAAAAAAATCAAAAAACTTTAAAAATAACAATTATGACAAATGTCACTTTTCATTGGTACATCTTCACTAAATTTATATTTACACATGTTATTAATACTTATTTTAGCATATTTTCTTCAAAAAAATTCAAAAAACTATAAAATTAACGATTATGACAAATGTCACTTTTCATTGGTACATCTTCGCTAAATTTATATTTACACATGTTATTAATACTTATTTTAACATATTTTCGTCAAAAAAATTCAAAAAACTTTAAAAATAGCGATTATGACAATTGTCAGTTTTCATTGGTACATCTTCACTAAATTTATATTTACACATGTTATTAATACTTATTTTAACATATTTTCATCAAAAAAATTCAAAAAACTTAAAAAAAAACGATTATGACAATTGTCACTTTTCTATGGTACATCTTCACTAAATTTATATTTACACATGTTATTAATACTTATTTTAACATATTTTCGTCAAAAAAATTCAAAAAACTTTAAAAATAGCGATATGACAATTGTCACTTTTCATTGGTACATCTTCACCAAATTTATATTTACACATGTTATTAATACTTATTTTAACATATTTTCGTCAAAAAATTCAAAAACTTTAAAATAACGATTATGACAATTGTCACTTTTCTATGGTACATCTTCACTAAATTTATATTTACACATGTTATTAATACTTATTTTAACAAATTTTCGTCAAAAAAATTCGATTATAACAACTTAAAGTCACTTTTCTATGGTACATCTTCACTAAATTTATATTTACACATGTTATTAATACTTATTTTAACAAATTTTCGTCAAAAAAATTCAAAAAACTTTAAAATTAACCATTATGACAATTGTCACTTTTCATTGGTACATCTTCACTAAATTTATATTTACACATGTTATTAATTCTTATTTTAACATATTTTCGTCAAAAAAATTCGAAAAACTTTAAAAATAACGATTATGACAATTGTCACTTTTCATTGATACATCTTCACTAAATTTGTATTTACACATGTTATTAATACTTATTTTAACATACTTTCTTCAAAAAAACTTATAAAAGAACGATTATGACAATTGTCACATTAAAATATTATCCTTAAAAAGATCATATAAAATAACATCAAAAAGGTTTCATAAAATCCACTTCATTTAATAATAAATAGATAATTTAAAAAAAATGATAAAAGATTTCACCTAAAAGATTGTTTATTTATCTAATAAAATTTACAATATAATTCCTCAATAAAAGATGTATTTACAAAGAAGATTGTGAAAATCACTAATAAATTATATTATAAAGAATATTACATTTTTACAATATAGCATCATATTATTTTTTTTATTAAAAAAACATCAAATAAATAAATTTATTTTCATTTCAAAATATAATAATATAAATAAAAAATATTAAATCATATCATGTTTATTTGTTGATAATAATAAAATATTTACATTAAATATAAATAAAATAAATTATTTTACTAAAATAAATAAATAATAATTAATGCTAAGCATCGATGCAGAATTTTGACTAATTTATTTTAGCCAATTTTTAGGCTTAGCCCATTTTTAGGCTTAACCAATTTTTAGGCTTAGCCGATTTTAAGGCTTATCCAATTTTTAGGCTTAGCCGATTTTTAGGCTTAGCCTAATTATGCTTAGCCGATTTTTAGGCTATACCTAATTAGGCTTAGGATTTTTCCACCTAAAATCTCGGCTAAGCCGTTTTTAGTCGGCTAAAATTAGCCGATTACGCAACACTAGTTTTGACCTATTTAATTTTAATAAAATTTTGCTTTCTGAGAGAACATCATCAGAGGGCATTGAGATAAGTTAAATAATAATGCTAAAAATTAAAATATTTGTATCTATAAGATTTTATATTAAATATTAAAGATTTTTTTAAAAAATAATAACGTTAGTTTATTTAAGTTATTAATTTTGAACCTGAAATTCTGGGTATACAACATCCAAAGGTTTAGTTGCATTTTGTAGATTACCTTTTGGGTTAAATGTATCAACCCCGATATTTAGCATACAATTGCTGCGGTTTTTCAAGTATATATGGATGATGGATTAATAATGGGTATAACCCCAGGAACAGTGTTGTTAAAAGCTACTTATAAATGTAGCAGGCTATCTCTACCACTATCTTACAAAAAAGTAGCGTGCTATCGCTGCCACTAACGTTTTCAACAAAGTGGCATGCTATTAAAGCTACTTTTAACTCTACTTTAAAAATTTTTTTACTTATCTATTTCCATAAATAAAAAATATGACAAAAATTTCAAATATATATAATTTTTTTAATTACATCTCAATAAAATAACATTTTCATAATGTCATCCTCAAGTCTAGAGCAACGATCAGAAAGTATAAGCTATTACTAAATAATCGTTCACTAGCACACAATGCAGTATTAAATTTAATATACATATTATTTATGTAAGAAAATAAAAATATTAATTTGAATATTATTATTTATTTCAAAAAAATTATCTACAGTAGGTGGCTTTTTTGATCTGGCTAAAGTTATACTAGTAATGGAATAAAAATTATATAGGGGATAAGTGGATGACCATGTTTGCCAACTGGCCAGGCCACCACCCTTTAACTTTTTATCTATTGAACTAATTTCTATCAAAATTGGTTTAAATGTAAAATGATTGAAAAGTATTTTTTAGCATGTTTTGATAAAATTTATAAATATATAAATAGATTAGTGTGCATCTTCAACACATAGATAATAATTTATAAATATTATTAAATAGATACATCTGATGATAAAATGAAATGTTAATATTAATTATTATAATTTTAAATTTATAATATAATTTTTGAATAATATTTTATGGCCAGTTGAAACATACCATGTTTAGACTGGGCCAGAAAATTAACTTTTACATAATCATCTAGCTCAAAAACTGTTATAGATATAGCTTTGATTCAAATTTTATTTTAAAGAATAAGGATTGGGCTACACATTGATATTAAATTTGAATATATTGCTTTTAAATGTTACCTCATTGAGGTTACTAGTCTTGTTTGTTGATAAAACCTGCCAGCACATCTTATAATGAAATTTATACATGTTAATTTTTTTATCGAGATTAAAATATTTTGCGAATTAAGGAAAAGGAAATTCCATATTATCATCATTTTCCAGGAAAATTACTTTGTCGATATGATCTGTACCAAAATTATCTCTAATATCCGACGTTTCAAATTTATTATTTTGGAAAATTTTTATAATGCAGATTTTAAAATATAAATTTCATTCAAAATTAAATAAAATAAAAAGATTATGATATCAATATATTTTAACAACTTTTATGTTTTATATTAAATATAATCTTTGCTACTTTCAAAATTAGTAGCGAGCTACCGCTATGGCTATTTTTTAGAAAGTAGCGCGCTAAAGCTACCGCTATTAAAAAGGCGCGCTACAACACTGCACGGAGCAACACAATCATAAGTTAGGAGAAAATTTTGAACTAATTTGTGACAAAGGCCTAAGAGCCAGTCAGGAAAAATCCTGAAATGCATAGGTCTTGAAATTATGACTGGTAACAGGTAGGAAAACATGCTGAACAGCTATGAGAATGGATGGTATATAAACCAGGTAAATTGAAGGGAGTGGACTGTTTCTTTGCCATGAGAGCTATTTTCCTCCCTGGCATATATTTAGATTATTGTAAAATTTGATTTAATAGATCAAAAAAAAAGATAACATGATCAAATATTACAAAATAAATTTTTTTTTAAATAGCTAATACTAATAAAATTATCTTAATGTAATAGTTTTTGATCAGTCTCAATTTTAAATATTTAAAACTAGTTCACTATTCAAATGATATAGTACTAACATATATCTATATATATTTTTAATTATCAGGCAAATTAATGGTAAATCATCAGGTAATAAATATTCTACAAGACATCCTTAACCTACTACCAGATATAGGTTTGCCGGAGTTTGTTAAATCGAATGTTGTTAAAACAAATGACCAGCTCTTAGTTATTTATTTGGCATCCATGATCCGATCCATACTTGCTTTAAATAACCTCATCAATAATCAAATAACCAACAGGTCATATTTGGATTTTCTTTTTTTTAATGTTGGCCTTTTAGGAATAAAATAAAAAGGTTAAAAATCAAAGATGCGAGAAAGAAAAGACATAAAATTGTTAATATAATTTGAAATATGAAGAAGTTCTTAAACTAGAATTTCTTTTTTTTAGTTTTAAAGATATATTATATTATTTGTTTTCCAAAAAATTTTAGGGATGAAGAAAAAAAAGAATTTAAAAAAGACGAAAATAGAGATGCTAAAATCCCAATCAAAAGTGAAGATGCTAAATTAGAAATAATTGACAAGGAGACTAAAAATTTCCCAAAATAACTCATTGATGTTACATTAATATTTTTATTACTAAATTTCGGATGCCTCGTGATTTTACAGTTTTCATATATCATATATTTTTCTTTACACTTTTATTGAAAAATAAAATATAAAAGGTGTTAATTTGTTGTTTTTTTAGTGAAAACACTTTTTTTAAAAAACTTTCAAGCATTTTTCAAACTTTGACCACCCTCTTCAGATATGTATTTTTGCGCATGTCTTTGATTCAACATTTTATCCAGGTGCTTCTTCAATAAAGCAAATGTCGGTCTTTCGGAAGGAGCAGTTTTCCAACACCATCTCATGACTTGAAAACTTAGTCGTTTGTTTTTATAAGATAATTATTTTTGGGATTGAATTATAAGCATTGACTGTTATATAAGTACAGTTTGTATATTTGATGCTTAACCCTGCATTCACAATTAGCACGAATTCGCGGCAAAGTATAAAAAATATGATCATCAGTATTTTTGTTTACTTCGTCGCGAATTCGCGCCAACTGTGAATGCAGGGTTAGGGCGCCCTGCATAAACCTGTCCGATCCGGATCGGTTGGATTCGAACGCAAAACCTTTCGGACGATCATAAATTTGGTATTCAAACTAACCAGAACCTGGCAAGAATTTGATTATTTTGTCATTCCTAATGCATTTAATCTTACTTTTTTAATTTTTTTTATTATGATAAGTCTAATTTTTTTTTATGATTGGACTTATGTTTGATAGACTAAAATCAATGATTATTAAAATTTGCACATTTTTTAAAAAAATATGTATAATAAAATCGGGGAAGGGACAACAGCGCATTAATTTACTTATGATATTATTTATCTGAACAAAATTATTTAAGTGGATATCTTGTTAAAAACGAATATTGCTATCAGTGTATCAAACCGAATCGCTATCATTTAAGCACCTGAAAAATTAATTGATTATTTAACATTTACTCCTATCTAATATTTTCGATTTCTTTTTTAAGCTATTAGCAAAATCAGCCAACGTTATTTAGGATTACCAGATTTTAAAAAATCAGAAATTTAAAAAATTGTTAGTCCTAAAAGTAAAAAATCACGCTCTTAAAAAAATACTTTTCAATATGGGGGGGGGGTTTAATGGGATCTCTGTAGTTATTTAATTTATCCTGTTAAATGGATGAATGTTTTGTTGTAAATACGATATATGAAAACAAAATTAATTTGATGATTTTGAGATATATTACATTTAATTTCGAGTTCATATGTACTTTCCATCCCACTTGATTTGGACGAGCTGAGTATAATTTATGTTTATTCTCATTCAGAATTGCTATTTACTACCTCCGAACTAAAGTTTAAGGGCAGAAATATTGGCATTCACAATTACAAGAAAATCAACATAAACAATTATTTTATAATTATATATTTTACTAAAATAGATATTTCATACGTCCTGAATGTAAATACGGTTTTAATATTTAAAATAATGTAATATTACATGTCATCATCACATTCAGGTGGCTTCTCCATCCTGTATCCCAATTTCAATTTATTATAAAAATCTGCATTTTGTGGAATATCGGGATAAGGATTTTGCCCAAGGGTTACGATTTCCCACAATAAAATTCCAAATGCCCATACGTCCGATTTTTCTGTGAAAACATGATCAAAGATAGCTTCTGGTGCTGTCCATCTAATCGGTAACTCTCCTGACTGTTTAAAAAAAAATGTTTGTTCATATCAGATTTTTATTATATAAAAGTTTTTTAGATTGAAAATATTTTTAAAAAATTGCAATTCTGATGCGAAAATGGAAACAGCCTCTTCAATTCTTGCGAGATCTTAAATCATTATTATAAGGGTCATTCCATGACAAATCAACCAAAAAAAACAATTTTTGACAGCTATATTATAAAACAAATGAAATTCGGTACGATGGTTACATAGAGTTTAGCTTAAATAGTTATTAAAGTTGTAATAGCCTAAATGGATTTAGGCGCTCAAAGTCCAATACAGTTGCGATCTCGGTTTTATACATTTAGGAAAATATAAAAAATTTCAGTTTTTATATAATAAGCTATTTTCAGTTAACCACATTTTAGAACTATAAGTCTCACTAGATATGTTTATTACCAATATATTTAAGTAAGAATTAAATTGGAACAAATACCAATTTAAAAATTATTTCGTTTTTTATAATTTTTGGAATAAAAAATTGAATTAATATGTAATCCAAAGATATACTAACAGGTTGGCGATTCATTAAAAGTGTCCATACATAGGAGTCAGTTGTAGCGCCATTTTGTGGACAACACTTCAACAAAATATCTTTATTTATCAATATTATGAATGCACATTAATATTATCATTGACGTGTAAACCGCAAATGGCGTTGCAGCTAACTCCTATGTTAAATATAGGAGACCTACAAAAGTAGACATTTTAAACTCGATATAATTTTTTTTATTTTCAAGGCCATCGAATTTTAATAATATTTTTCGTCCATTTCTTTCAAGGAATTATATTGATGTCAAGAATTGAAGAAGCTCCAAAAGGGTTTTTTAAAAAAGTCTATAGAAAACGCTGTTTTTATTTAATGCTTATTTTTATAAATGATTATTATTTTCAACAATGCCGTATAAATGATAGATAATCTTAGCTGTATTTAACATATATCGAATGTACACATATAAGTTTATGAATATATAATAATAAATAACCTCAGGAAATTCTAATAGGTGCTTACAATATTAAATTGCAATGAATGCAAAAAAAATTTTATTTGCAATTATAGTTAACCAAAGCGCCCTCTATATTTAGTTATTTTATTTCCAAAATTTTGATAAACTGTATATTTAATTATTATTTGCTCCATATTAATTCTCACTTAAACATTTAAGTATATTGATGATAATCATATCTGGCTAGTATCGTCCCATAATGGTTTTTGTTTTACTGGAAATACATAGACACCGACAAATTTTTTAAGGTATTTTTATAAATTTTAAGAGTGCAAAATTATAAAAAATCATTTGAATTCAATATTTATTGAGTATCGCATTTGTAAGTGCTATAACTCTAGATCCATCTGAGAAAATGCTTTCGAATTTTCATTTATATAAATTTTACAACATAGATAACCAACACACCAAGTTTTATTAATTTTAAAAAACTTAATCAAGTCTTTGATCGATTTGACATGGAAAATACCATAAATTATTTTAGATTTCTTCATTATTCTATTTCAATTCTGACATAAATAATTTTTTTTTACTCTAATGTATAAATAAATGCTAATTAAAAGTCGAAAATATCTTTAAAACCTTCGATTCCTTAACGTATATACCATACACAGCAGACATATCTCTAGCCAATCCAAAATCTGCTACTTTAGCCACTGTAGTTAATCCATAAGATCCCTCTGCTAATAATATGTTCCTTGCCGCTAAATCGCGATGAATTATCTTGTATTAAAATTTAATTATATTGAAGAAAATCTGCTTTCATAAATATAAAATTTTCTATATTTCAGTAATATAGGTTAAGGTGGAAATCGCCATATGTATTCGCTAGTTAATGCCACTCCCCCTTCAATGTAGAATTTGGGGCTTTAAATCATCAAAATTTTATAAAAACTCTCTTACTCCATGCTTGGCTAAATGTTCCATCCCTTTAGCCACGTCCAATGCGAATTTTAACATTTGTGTGGTCGACAACGGATTCTTAGATTTTTCGCCTTTTTTTTCTAATTCTTGTTTTGTCTGTCTAGCCTTTTTAAGAAAGGTTTTTAAATCACCATAAGGAGCAAATTCTATAGCCACATATAACGCACCTTTTAAATATATTATAATTATATGACTTACATATTTGTCACATTAGTATGATAAATTCTTTTTTTCATCTAATAATATAAAATTTTGATGGCCGATATTTTAACCAAAAGAATAACTCGGCCAAGGAAATTTCAAGATAAATGCTTAATCTATTAAAATATTTTATAGATTTAATATTTTTGCTGAATTTCACAAGCTAGTATAATATATTTTTACATTTTAATATTTAAAACATTAAAAAAATTTATAATAAATATCTTTCCTACCATTTTCTTAAAAAGACATTTTTTAATGTCTAAAAAAATGATATACTGATATTCTTTTACCGGTATGTTCACAATAACCTATTAAGTTGACAATATTGGGATTGTAACCAATCTTTTTCATGATTTCCATTTCAGCGACCATTACATCGTAGGCATCTTCAGTGGATTTGTTACCTTTAAATTTATTACATTTATAATTTTTCTTAAGTGTAATTAAATTTTAATAATCATAATTGAAGAATGCTCAATTTGGTAATTTTTCTATCTGGATGTTATTAATGACCAGAGTTGAGCAGTATCATTAATATATTGATAGTAGTGTCTGAAATACAAGATCTTTTTTTTTTATCTTCTTTATATCTTTTTGACATTTATACTACATTTTCAAAAGTATCTTGTATAAAATTAAATAAACATTTTTTCATAAATTCTCTCATTAATTTCTTTGTTTTTTTCCATTTCTTGATATTTTAAAATAAAAATTCATTATTATTTTATAATTTGACATATTAACTTTGTTTGCAAATTAAGATAATTCAATTTATGATATATTTTCTACATCTATATTAATTCTTGTACAAAATAATCATCTCATGGAGAAATATATTCTTATTTCAGTGTTGAACATTTTGGATTGTTCCTTGGACACCGTGTACTTGGTATAAAAATAGTAATATTTGGATGATTTAGAATTCTTGATTGTATTTATTAATTTTATATTTATGATATTGTAAGAATATTTTATTATAGACATAGAAATATAATGTGTGTATTTTTTAGTGTTTTAGCTAATTTAAGAAAATTTCTAGAGGATTTGAAAAATTTTGAGATAGTTTCTCTGGAAGGAGAAATCACAAAATATAAAATCATTTATTAGCAATTAATCCTTCAGCTCGTTATTCACTGTTTCTTATAATTGGGTCGTATATTATTTCCACTCTTTATAGCATTTTGGTGAGAAATCGATATTATCAATTTATTATTAACCACGGGGTCAACATTGTAGCATGATCTACAGAAGGAATAGATTAACCTTTTTTCTTAAAAAGTAGTATTTTTTATTTAAGATACTCCTATTTAGCAAACGATTAAAGTATCTTGTATTTAATTAATATTTTTTATACAATACTTATATCCGTATCGAAGATACTATTTTTATATTTTTAGGACCTGCCCAACTCTGCTGACAATTAAACATAATAATATTAAACCCAACCTTTTCCCGTTTTCAGCGTTTTAATTGCTGTCGTGACGGTTTGTCCTGTTTTTTTGTCATATACCATTCCTTTTTGAACTTGACCGAAATTGCCCTTACCCAGAATTTGAGGATCGAGTGTTATGTTTTCCCATGGAATCCACCAAGGATCCTCGGCCAACTTTTCGGCGGCATTTAAAATTGGTTGATTAGAACCCGGAGCAGCAGGCTTGAGTCCCTTGTAGGCTTTACTGGTCAATAACCTGTATTCTTCGACATCTGTTTTCTTTCCGTCGGTATTCAAGTTAACTTTCGTTGTTAATGTGATATTCTGTTGAGATGGCTTTGATCTTGCCAATTCTTCTTTTTCCCTCATTTCTCTCTGAGATTTTTATTATTAAAAATTACATTTCTTTGATAAAATATTAAATAGTATTTTTATAACTTATCAGGTAAATTCAGCGCAACTTTTATGGCGAAACACCTTTTAGCAAAACATTTATCGCGAATGAATTTTAGAACGAAGGTAATATCGCGTAACAAATTCCGAGAAACATTTACAGCGAAAAAAACGTTAATTTATTTACACGAACACTTTAGAGCGAATATAGAAACATTTATTGTGAACCCATTGTAACGAAACTCTTATTGCGAAACCTTTACAGCGAATTTTTTACCATGAATGTATTTGTGCGAAGTCATTATCGCGAGTGCATTACAAATACAATAAATATATTTCAATTGCATTTATAAAATAAAAAGCAACATATTCAATAATAATTTACCCACATAAGTTCCTCAAATAATAAAGTAAAGTTTTTTAAGGATTTTTTATTACTCATTGTCACAAGTAAGCATGTGACCTCTATCTGATGTAGTGCTGTAAACATTTTTAAAAAAATCGAACGCGTTCGCGTTCAACGTTCATTGACAAAAATCGAACGCGTTCACGTTCACGTTCAAATTCAAAAAAAGGAACGCGTTCAAGTTCATGAACGCGTTCATGCGTTCAAAATTTTATGATAAATTTTTTTTTAAATTTAATTTAATATAAATAAATGCCTTATATTTTTCAACACAATATATTAGCCATGATAAAAAAATAATAGTTTTATTTTGATAATATAATTATAAATACAATATAATAGAGCGATAAAAAAATAAATTTATAAAATTTTTTTCTTAAATACTAATATTAAAATGCCTTATTATAATTAACTATATATATATATATATATTATGTAATTATTTTTACTTAGAACAATTAAAATAAATTATTAACTGGCTATATAGTTATACATATTATATAATATAAAATAATTAATGTTACAATCAGATGTCTTTTTAAATTGGAGCTTGAAGATGTTGACACTGATATAATACTTTTTGGACACATTTTACATTTGGTAACTATTGAATTACCTTTTGATTTTAAAACAGTGAAATATTTTTGATATTTGGGCCATGGTAATTCTAATTCATCTAATATTGAATTTTGATTTTCAAAATCTGATGATGAAATATTTATATCCATGCAAATGCTAATCTATTAAATTAAAATATAAAATATTCAAATTAATAAACTTTAATCTTATCTTCTCTAGCAGTAGCACGTTATGGTACGTTAATTGCAATATGAACGAGGAAAAAGTAAAAACAGCTGATTAAAAAATATAAGACTTTTTTGTTAAAAAATTGGATTAAATATTAATTTTTCAAATAAATAAAAATATAAGACTTTTTTGTTAAAAAATGCGGATTAATATTAATTTTTTAAATAAATAAAAATAAAAAGTGTTTTTAAAATTGAACGAACGTAAAATTGAACGCGTTCATCAAAGAAAAGGAACGCGTTCACGTTCAAAGTTCGTCAAAAAAAAAGGAACGCCGTTCATCACCTTTTTTCAAAAAAACGAACTTCGTTCGTTCAACAGCACTAATCTGATGTAATAAAAAATTAAATGATCTCTCTCATCATGATCGTAGGTACGGAGTGGACATTTTGGATTCAGTTTTTTACCCCAATCAACTTATCCTCTTTCCCCCTTTCAATATAAATTTTGAAAATTTAAAAAATGCGCGTTATGCAATAAAAAGAATTTTAACAAATATTCTGAAATGCGTAGAATTTTTTTTAAAAAAAACATCTTATTCTCCTAATCATGATATAGAGTGATCAGTAATTTTAATAGCCCTTAGAATAATTTTATTAGCTATCATCTAATACACTTCTAGATATTTTTTAGAAAAGTTTGATACCCTCCCCCCTCTCTATTACATAAACCCGAGGGGAGTAATGATTAATTCCAACACTCATAAAACCATAAGCTAAATGCACATAAAAATTAAAAATATATTAAAGATTCTGAGCGATATATTGTATTTTATTAGAAATTAAAATTTACTTAGCAAAAATAAAAATTACTAGTATTTATAAATAAGAGTAATTAAGTTGCGTTAGTATATATTCAGAGCGAAATTTTATAAGTATTTTAAAATACAATAAAATTTCGATGATAACTTTTTTTAATTGTTGCGGAATTGATATTGTATGCAATTCTCTATTTAAGACCAGAAAATGACTTATTTATCATAAGTGCTTCTATATTTTTTGTTATATCTTGATGGATGAAAGTTATGAAAATTATCTTATTTTCCTATTATTTTTTTATCTATACTGTTTACCAAAAGGATTGAAGTACTAAACTAACATGTATTATAATTGAGCACTATATATTGGCATAAGCTTCAAAGTAAAAATTTGGTAAACTTAATGCTTATGGCTTTTATTATATTCAGATTTCATCAAATTTTTTGAAAATATGACTATAATTTTACTTCTATATATAAATAAACAGATAAGATAAAAAAAAATATCTAAGAAGATCCTAAATCATAAGATTCAAATATATTTTGAATCGAGTTTTAAAATCATATAAAGACATAGGCTAAGGCGTAACATTATAATTTTTAATTAGAATATAACTCGTTTTTGGTTAGTGACTGGCAAAACTGATTGATAAAAATAAATAATTGAATGCTAATCAGACCATAAATATTGGCGCAACCTAGGTATCACTTTCACCAGTAGGAATTAAGGTTAATTAATCAACAAATAATAAATATATTCTAACCTGCTATTCTTATAAAAGTACACAACGAAGAAAAGCACAGAAAAGGATAGTATAAATAAATTATATTCCAATAATAATTTTTCTAAAACAATTCTAAGCTTAATAATCATTATACAAATTTATTAAGGTTAAAAGTTAAAATCTTTTTCGTTGAATCAACTTTCCAACCTATTTTTAAAAATATTTTTTAATTACTATGGTCATAAAAATAAAATAGTCACTATTAGTGTTGTCATTCGCCAGAAAAATAGTGTTTAAACAGCAAGATTTGGCTAATAGATGTCCAAATTTGTTCTATATATGAACAAATTCTAGTATTGTTAAACGGTTCGTTTTGAGCCGATTTAAAAAACGGCTAACTCAATATTTTAGCCAGAAAAATATTGCCTAAGCCTCCAGATTTTGCTAATAGATGCCCAAACCTTTGTTCCTTGCAAATAAAATCTTCATGCATAATATTTGGATGAAATATTGAGTTAACCGTTTTTAAAAATCGGCTCAAAACGAGCCATTTAACAACATTAGCAAATTCCTAAGGCTTGTATAATATTTATCTGGGCAAAATATTGAGCTAACCATTAAGATAAGTTCAAATCGAGCCGTTTAACAATACTAATCGCGGTATTCACTTCGCGATAATTAATTCGCTATAATATCTTTGCGATTCATGATTCGCGAAATAATTTTCGCTATGCTGTCTTTGCGATTTGGATTTCGTTATAATGACTTCGCTATTTGCAATTATTTGATTCACGATATAGTCTTCGCAGGATAGTATTAGCTAATGTGGATTTGCGATAAAAGTTTTGCTATAAAACTTATTTGCGTTGACAACATTCGCGATAAAAGTTTCACAAATTAGTGTTTGGCAATAAAAGTTTTTCTGAATTGACATGGAACCATTTTCATAAAAAGGGGCTATGCTATATATTTATACTGCAAACTTGGATGGAAGGGATGAAAAATTTTTGGACAAATAGACAAGATATGAACTACTTAATATTGAATTATTCTTGGACTGGAGTCAATTTTAAAAAAATTGCTACACAAAAACGTGACAGTTTACAATTTTAGAATTTTTATGAAATGCAATTTAACCCTTTTTAACACTAATAAAAATTGCAAATGAATAAAATATTATACTAAAGACTAGATAAATAGAAATTATTATCAATATTGTAACTTCGTAAGAAAACATGATTCCACCAATAATGAAAAATACCAAACCAATGATACTTATAATGGCTATTATTGGAAGCCCCTGAATCATGGTTTTTTGTAATATAGGGTTTTTAGGATTTGATGGATTTGTGGTACCACTTTTCGCCATTATAGATGCTAGCCCAAACACACCCAATATCAATATAAGGGCACCTTATAAAATATGATAGACATAAAGTAAATATGATTTAGATATATTAATAGGAAATCTAGATCTCACATTGATAATTATAACTCCGTAGATACCTCAAACTTGTAAACCCAAATTTGAGTTCAGAAATTTTGATATCAATACTTAATTGAAGCGAATTTTTTGAAAGAGGTCTGAATCCGTTTCGATACAAAAACTCGGGTTTGATCGGTATGCCCTAAATCTGTCACTGTTTGGTATATGTTCTACAAATGTTAAAACTAATCATTTTAAGTTTCTGAACCAGAATTGGGCCTACTCAAACACATTTACAGTTTAATCACAAATTTAAATTAAACAACTTGCATCGTGTTAATAAAAGATTTACCTATGCCCATTAGAATGAAAGAATGTGATATTTCTGGTTGTTTTGATTCTTGTTTAGCCATTATCGATCTTTAATTGTCTTATATAATTCTTCTTAAATCTTTAAACATAAATTAACCAATTTTTTTTTAAATTATATTTTTCACAACAATTAAATTTGTTTATCCAATTAAAAAAGTTTTTTCTTTCATGTATGTAATATTGATGATATTGTTAGAGTTGGATTTATCAGGAGATTAATCGAACATAGAACAGACATCCCCTTTAAGGCTGGACTAAGCACCCATAAACAGCGGGCTAAGATAAGAATGTAATTTCCTATTAAATTAATTTAAAAATATTTATAACCATTTGCTGGGTTTTCCATCAAAAAATTAAAGTCCCTATCAAAAAAAAAACAACTGAAATCAAAAGAGGAAGTGTCTCCAACAAAAAAAGAAAAGTCCTACGATCAAAAAAGGAAAATCAGTATTTACTATAATTTTTTTTAAAAAAATATCATTTTAATAATCTTAAAATGTCATTTTTTTGCATTTTTCTTTAATTTTTGGTTATTTTTAATTTTTATTTTCATCATCTACTATTCTTTTTTATCTCTTTAAAAATAATTCCATTATTTTCCTTTTCATCATTCTTCTATTCACTTTTTCTTTCGAACTATTCTTTTCCCCCTTTTTTTACCTTTATCCTATTTAGAGGTCTGCAAGTGACAAGGTTTTAAGGCCCGGTGGGGTCCGGTTTTGGATTTCTCACGTCCCTGTCCATTCAAATTTGTACCCTACCTATTCCAATTTTTCATTAAAGTGGCTCGGCCTGGCTAGGCTTTTTATAATCCGAATATTTATGGTAAAATAACCAATAATGATAATGGCTTAGGGTTTATGATTTTCTTATTAATGCAATAAACCCAAAATAAAGAAAAAGGAAATCGTGCTTATGAATGATCATAGTAACAGGTCATTTAATCGTTATAAGCAAATAATTTTTTCTATTCTCTATTAAGCCTACGGCCAACTTACTTATTGCCCGGCCATCCTGATAATTATTTTCCTCTGCCCAAATAAAAAAATCAGACATTACCCGGTCCAGCCTGGTGAATTGCAAATTTCTAATTCTATTATATGTGGGAAATAAAGTAATCGTTTAGATAAAGTACCATACTATATATCAAAGGTGTAGCCAAGATTTTCCTAAAGGGGGGGTAGAGGGAATTAAAAAATTTCTGAGGACGAAGCTCCCGGACCCCATTTGCCGGGCTTTCGACCTGCTTTTGCCTCCTTAGTTTATATATACTCATAAAATATTTTTGCAAGATCGAATATTAATTTTAATAAAAAAAATATTATCTTTATTTAAAATAAATATAAGAAATTGGTAAATAGATTATATCAAAATATAAGCCTGGAACATATAGGAAATATATTTTTATTAGTTTATATAAAATATAATAAATTGCATATATATATTAATACAAAAACATGGTAAAAATTTATTCCAAACAAGTATAAGAAATTTCTTTATAAAAAGTAAGTAGACATATAATTGATATTTCTCTATTATATAGAATTGGTTACAAAATATTAGGTAAAATGCCACTTTTACAGACATATTTGACAGTTATAGAATATATTACATTTAATATTTTAATAAATTTTACTAATAAATTCTTTTAATAATAAATATAAGTAGCAATTTGCATTCAATTCTTTAACGCCATCTATTTATTTAAAAATATTATTAAAAATTAAACATCTTATTATTCATTCCACAATAAATGTACCTTATTATATATTAAGGGTACTGAAATATAGAATTATTTTTTTCATTTACATTCTTTAAAAGATATTTTCTGATGTCCTAGCTTAAAAAAATTCTAATTGTCATCGAGCAAAATAACAACAGTAGCAAAATCTACTAGGTTACGCCCAAAAATTAGATACGAGATCCAGGGTTAGATTTGGATATAGCAAGATTACTAAACTTCATTAAATACCTACTCAAACTAAAAGCAATATCTGCCATTCAACAAGCTTTATCAAGCTAACTGGGCAAGTCAACCAAAATAGATTTAAAATATTTAAAAGCGTAATGTTACATCCTGCCATATGTGATTTATCTGGAATACGCTTTGGAGGCAATAAATATTGCTCTAATTTTTCCATATAGGAGTAGCTTTCACGTCATATGTCCTGCAACTCATAGTATCAGATGCATACAACATAACAGAAATGACGGCATCATACATAGTTTACCTAAACACGGTATGACATATTATACTTGATCATTTATTTTAAACATATTGTACATTTATTGCACCCATATTATAGGTCATACAAATAATATTATTATATATATTCCGTTTAGGCCTAAAACGAATTATTTGTTATATACGAATAGCACAATTATTCGAAAATTCTCAAATCGAATATGAATAATGAGGAAAATTATTCGTATTATTCGAAATTATTTATATATAAATATTCGTAATTCTTCACAAATATTTTATTTGTAAATATAATAAAAAAAGAAGTAATTAAATTTTCCTAGTGGATATCATTTTGTTTTATTTTATTTCCTATTATCAAATCATAAGTTATATTATTTGCTGACAAAGTTTAATGGAGGAAAAGGAAAAGCTCCAAAGTAACTAAAATATAATTATTTTATTTTGATGGTTTCTCTTTAATCATTTTTGGTGTTAAGAACGAGTCAAAACATTTTTATGGAGTGTGCCTCTTTCCCATATTCTTAAGCTCCTGGCAGATAAATAACTAAATTTTCTTGACTAGTTCTTATTCTTTGATTAGGAAAATTCTTTTCCCATTTATTAACCTTATTTTTAGCAAATTTTAAAGACAATCATATAATTCAGATAGTGTATCATATTCACTATCATAAAATCTTCATCACTATTAATTACATTGTCATAATCACTTCTAATAAAATGATATTACATCTTAAATAATATTATATTCAATTTTAAAACATGGTGTATAATTTATATACTACAAAATTAACAATAATATTTTGAAGTTTTAATTGCAGTGACTTAGCCAGGATTTTCTCACCCAAATCTCCCATTTTTTATGAACACTCAATTGCTTATATCCTAGGCTATGTTAAATTTATTTTAAATATTTGCATATAAGATATAACAAAATTTTAGAGAGTATTTCATTATAGATTTTATTTATTATATTAAAATACTTTAGTAGCATATATTTCCTTTATTTAATCATGTATTTATTTTTATTATTTAAAATAAATTTTAAAATGTAGATATTTTATATAGATTATAATTTTAAAAATTTTATTGTATAAAAAATTACATAAAATATAAATAATTCTTATGCAAATACTGGTATTTAAAAAAAATATGAAAATTATTTTTTAAAATATAAATTATTTGTACTTTGATTAAAAATTGTATTTGCATAAATTTTAAGAATATATCTAAAACTAATATAATCATATTGCAATTTTTTGATTTGAATTTATAAAGAGAGGTCTAATTTTTAATTCATAAGAGGAATAAAAATAGTAAATAAAAATAATTTTATTTTTAGAAAACAGCCTCCCCCATGCCTATGCCATTGTTTAATTAATTTACTGTTTCTTAAGTTTTAAATTTTAAATATTTTTTCTTTCAGCTGCTAATGTATCATTGATCTGGAATTTCAGGAAGGATGGTAAGCTTGGATTTTATATGATATATATAATTTTGAATATATTCAAATATCAATTAGAAAATCTTGATGGAAGAAGTTATGGTGAAGGACATAGTCAATCCTCAAAGAGAGATCTACATCAATATCTGATAAAACTGATGTTAATGTTAGGCGGAAAAATTCTTTAATATGGAATCATTATCTGCATGATTCTAAAACAGAAACAGCTAGATGTAAAATATGTAATGTAGAAATAATGTGCAAGAAAAAAACTACCTCGGCACTAATTAATAATAATAAATGGTTTCATCAAAAAATTCAAAATAATAATATGATAAAAAACTATTTAAATGATGTACCCAAAACAAATGCTGATGTTATTATGCATTATTTATTAAAATTTTTACTCAAGTCAAATATACCATTTAAAATTCTCGCCACACAGGAATTCAAGCCATTGGTTAGTCTGACATAAAAATATGTTCAATACCCTCAATCAAACAATATATGAATGAGAATTATAATAAAGAATTCAATAAAGTTAAAATAATTTAAAGTGTTAATTAACTTTACCACTTACATATGGTTAAGCCCCATTAATGTACCATTTTTAGGGTTGACCTGCCACTTTATTGATGAAAAATGGGAGATGAAGTCATTGTTATTAGATATAGTTCCATTTACTGATTCACATTCTGGTGAAAAAATATATAGAGAGTTTTCTCAAATTATAAAAAATTATAAAATCGACATATATAATAGCAATTATATGTGATAATGCTAGCTCTAATTCGACTTTCATAAAAATTCTTCGTATAAAACACCCAACTTGTAAAATTTTACATGTACAATGTTTTGCACACGTACTCAATTTAGTAGTACAAGAAATACTTAAGAAAGTAGACATGCAATTATCAAAATTAAGAACAATCATAAAGATTATTCGCAATTATTTTACAAAGACAATATGCAAAATGTATGCTCCTCCCTACTTCCCCCTATGAAATATTTAAAATCAAAATTAGACACATCCATCAGATGGAATAGCTCTTATTTAATAATCGAAAGATCTATTAAAATGAGAAGGGCTATTGATGAAGTTGTGACTCAGATATATGATATATCTGATTTCGAAGAAAGAAAACTGAGCGAAGTAATTTATTTTTATTTACTAATTATTATTTTTTATCAGGAGGATTGGACTACTTTAATAAACATACAAAACAAATTAAAGACTTTTTTGATTTTACAGAAGATATATGTGGTGACACATATCCTACTTTAAATCTTGTCATCCCTTTTTATGTTTCTTTAATGGAACATTTAAATTCATTTGACCACGATTTTATATACCCTATCAGTGCTATTGACAAAATAGAAAATTATTATGACCT